GATGGTGTCAGTTGCACAGGAAAGCTACTCACAGGCTGCAGAAGTCTTCAACAAGGTTCCAACGGGACCAGTCTCGACTGTGAAAGAAGAAACTCGTGCCCCAGACTGTAATGCTCTGAAGCCCCACCTTCCAGCTGAATAATTCTGCCAAGCTTCTTCGGGGATTAAGAAAGATGGCTCCCTCGGGCCCCCTGAAACTCAAACAGACGTCTGAAATACCAGCCAAGGGCAACTCCAAATTATGGAAAGAATTGTCCAGGCAACATAACAAAATGTGAAAACTGACATCTCTCAGGATCTTTGGAAAGTACCTACAGTAACCCAACATTTTTGGGGGGATGGGGTGGAGAATCTAGGTGCTTTTAGGCCAATGCCTTGCTAACACACACACACACACACACACACACACACACACACCAGTCCTATTTAAAAAGGAACCTTGCCTGTTTAAGATGCCAAGGTGTCAAAGTAGGCATCCTGATACACAGGCTTTATTTTCTACATTAGCATGGCAATTCTTGGCATACACCTGGAGGTGAGGGAGCCCCCCCCCTTCTCCTGGCCTTCCGTAAAGGTGTAAAAAGATGGCTCTGCGGTCTTGCTTGGGGCGTGCAGAAAAGCACACAGCCCTGGGGCCGGTTAGCCCCCTAAAAGCCCTCCTCCCACTTTTTCAATTAATTTTTTCACCTCCCTTCCCTCTTTTAAATTTTAGATACTGCTTTTTATGCTTTTAATGTTTTATGCTACACCACCCTGAGTCCCTTACCTCTTGTACGAATGAAGGCGAATATACGTGTCCCAGGATAATGTTGCAGGATCCAATCTAGATCAGTTGCCCGGACCAGAGGTTTAGTCTTCTGAGCTTCTGGACTTATGCTGGACTTGAGCTACAAATATTTTCTTCTTTTGGCAAAGTCCTGGGGCTGGTGGCAAATCTTTTGAAAGTACGTGTGATGGACACACTCAGAAAACTGCTCCTAAGACAAAGTCTGTCAAAAAAACATCCATCTATCATCCTTCTGGATGTTATGCATCATATAAGGAAGACCTTTGTGGACCCATAAGCACAAATACCAGAGCTTGGTGGGTTTTTTTGTGTGGCATTGAAACCTCCTATTTATTTATTTTTAATTGAAAAGTATTTTTTTGAGAATCAGCTGCAAGAAGGAAGATGATGTCTGGGACATCTATACTCAGACATTGCCAGCGACTCCTTTATAACTATGAAAAATCCTTCCGTGAATCCCACAGTTTTCAATATGTTGTTCATGCTAAAATAACATTTTTTGTTGTTGTTGCAGAGATAGGGAAAGATGGATCAGCTCATCCTCGCCCCACCATTTCATCTAATACCTGCTTCTTTTGACTCATGAAATCCACCACCTCCTCCTTTGCAGGTTTAATGCTTTTCACCCTAATTCGTTACTCCGTGATGTAGGCAAAAAAGCAAAAGAGATTATGTAAACTAGAAAATTCTTCCCTTAAGCCTGGCAAAGAGGCACTGAAGCACAAAGGGCAACAGAGCCATCCCAAAATGAAATATTTGGCAACAACTATACAGTTGGCCGAGAGAGGACTGAATGCATTTTAAAAAATAATAATAATAAATCCAGAAGACAAATTCATCTTAGGGGACATTAAAGGAGACAACTGCACTTCACCATTGAAGACAAAGTATATACTCTATATATAAGAGTATATATAGTCTATATACACAAAGTATACAGAGAAATTTAACCGGCATCTTAGGACATGGAAATGAAGGTGTTGGTAGAACAAGTAGAAACTTCATTTAAATTCCACCTCCAGTTCTTTTTGCTTACGCTCTCATTTGCTAATGCACTCTTAGTTTCTCACACACTTCGATCATACAACTTCAGGGCCCATAAAATCCAGTGGAATGACACCAGGCTTCTCCAGAAAGAGCATTAGGAAAAACCAATGACTCCCATATCAAAAAAGTGCCGGAGTTGAATTAAATCAAACTTTCCTATATGAAACTATTCTCTTCTCTTCAGATCACATTGATTTTGTATCAGATTGTCTTCTTTGTGGATGGGTGTGTGTGCAGCCTTTCATTTATTTTACGAGCCGTGGTAGTGCAATGGTTAGAATACAGTACTGCAGGCTACTTCTGCTGCCTGCCGGCTGCCTGCAGTTTGACAGTTCGATCCTGACAGGGTTCAAGGTTGACTCAGCCTTCCATCCTTCTGAGGTCGGTAAAATGAGGACCCAGATTGTTGGGGGCAAATATGCTGACTCTGTAAAGCGCTTAGAGAGGGCTGTAAAGCACTGTGAAGCGGTATATAAGTCTAAATGCAATTGCTATTATTATCTTATTCGTTAAATTTATTGGCCGCCCATCTTGCTGTGGGGCTACTCTAGGTGGCTTTTTACAGTTTAGTTTTTACCCTGTACCATTTGGTATTGCATTCTTTAAAAAAGTATACAGTTGCCTTGTACTCTTTAAAAAAGTATTGAAAGCCTGCACAGAAGACAACTAAAATTACCTTCCCCAACAAGCTACTGGATAGCCAAAGTGGATAAAATATGGCTAAGCAACTCTCCATATGGTTTTACCAATGGGGCCCTTAATCAACTACAGGTAATCCTCGACTTACAACCACAATTCAGCCCAACATTTCTGTTGTTTTAAGTGAGACATTTGTGAGGTGAGTTTTGCTCCATTTTACGACCTTGCTGACCACCGTTGTTAAGCGGATCCCTGCCGTTGCTAAGTTACTAACCCGGTTGTTCAGTGGATCTGGCTTCCCCATTGACTCAACGGCTGCCACAAAGAAGAGGGAGTCAAGCTATTTTCCAACGCGCCTGGAGGCAGGACAAGAAGCAACAGATGGAAACTGATCAAGGAGAGAAGCAACTTAGAACTAAGGAGAAACTTCCTGACAGTTAGAACAATTCACCAGTGGAACAACCTGCCTCCAGAAGCGGTGAATGCGCCAACACTGGAAGTTTTTAAGAAGAGACTGGACAGCCATTTGTCTGAAATGGTATGGGGTTTCCTGCCTGAGTAGGGGGTTGGACTAGATGACCTCCAGGGTCCCTTCCAACTTTATTATTATTGTTATTATTAAAAGATCAGACTTTGCTTGTCAGAAGGAGACCCCACGACCCTGGGACACTGCAATGGTCGTAAGTACGAACCAGTTGCCAAGCGTCTGAATTTTGATACACACAGTCGTGGGCATGCTGCAAAGGTCATAACTCTGAAAAATGGCCGTAAGTCCCTTTTTTTCGGTGCCGTTGTAACTTTGAACCGTCACTAAAGGAACTGTTGTAAATTGAGGACCACCCGTATACGTCTTGCTATGCACCATAAACTAGCAGGGGACTCGTTTCCAAAGGGAAAGGTTTAGATATTCTTTTATTTACATTTTTTTCTCAGCCAAAACGGAAATACAATTGCACTTATTTCGGAGAGAATCAGAATACTGAAGAAAAAGGCACAATACTGTTCCTGAATCCCATTCCCCCCCCCCCCAAGAAAAGCAAACTGTCTCATTTCTAGCAATGTACAGATTAAGTACAACCATGAAGTATAAACTTTCTCCCTCACTTCCGCTGCACATTTAGCACCTGAAAACAATGCTCCATACTCTGTGTATAACCTTCTTTCAGGGGATCCAATGTGTTCGTGACGAATAAATGCTCATCGTCATTCCACAGGCGAAAGAATTAGCGTGACATTAAAAAACAAAATCGTTAAAAAAAACTTCACAGTCTGCCAGAAACAAGAATAGCTAAATGTTAGCTAGAGACAGCAGTTTGGGGGCCTGTAAACATGTACTGTTTCTGGTTAAAGAGGGTTTGTTAAGCTCTGGAATTCATCCCTAATAACAGCAATAAACCTTTAAAAAAGCAGTGCTGGGATGCTGGGGGCTGGGGGAGAAATACGTAATCTAAAAGGCAATTCTCTTTCAAATTAACTTCAAATCCGCTGTTCTCAGAACGAAAGACTTGACTGGCTCCTCACCAAGGTTTGAGACCGACACATGTCGAGTAGGGACAGTTTTGCTTGTTTCGTTGCGTAGCTGGAAAAAGGTCTTCGGTCAAGGGCCCTTTATCCCTCTCCCAACTTAATCCAGGTCATTTGGGCTGCCCAATATGACAGCCCAAGGAAAAGGAGAAGAAAGAATTCAACTAGGGGTAGGGAGGACAAAACTCCATCATCCAAGAGGTGGAGGCCAATATGCACCAGGGGTGAAACAGGCTCCAAGTCAATGCTTCAACCGTAGGTGTGGCCTCATCACAGTAAGGATTCCCACCAGGGAGGAGATGACACCACACAGCCCTATAACTCCAGGGTTGGTCTTGTAGATGCCCAGTCGGTCCAACGGACTAAAGATATCACAAAGGTTCTTCACCGTATCCAGCAAGAGGGGTGGGTAGTTCTTTAACGTGAGGAAGGCAAGCAGGAGAAGAGTCTGTAGCTCACCGTTGGTCAGGAAAGCCATCTTCTGGAATTTCCGCCAACCGGCTGCCGAGGTCTTTTGGGGCTTCTGGCTGCAGGTGGTCTGCTTCATGCGCCAGCAGAGCTCATAAAAATCCTTGACCAGGTTTATCACCAGGGAATAGTAGTAGCACTTGGTCGCCCATTTGCGCCACTTCTTCTCATTGATCTCCGAGAGGAGCCCAACGCTCTTCACCCACAAGACGGTATCACAGGCAAAGTACATAACCCGGTTCATGTTGGAGGCAGTCAGGAAGAAGCGAGGAATGGCGTAGGGCAACAGAGAAGCTTGATGGGCTGCCACGATGGCATGCACGATATTGCCAAGCCTAAACACTGCAAGAGAAACCAGAGCTGAAACAGGGTGGTGGAAATAGGCCTGGAGTCTGACGGCGCCACTGATACATCACGTGCAGCCACGTACTCCATCAGCTTTGGGCAATGACGCAATTCAAGGTAGAAGAATAATGGGGGAGAATAAAAATGGCTTTGCCCAAGAAGATAATGAACTTAGGGTCCAGGGTTGAGTTCCAGTTCTGGAAAGCTACTACTAAAACACTCCAGATCATTGATGGCTACTCCCAGATTTCATCAAGGGTGATCTTCTGTAATCTCTCTCTCTCTCTCTCTCTCTCTCTCTCTCTCTCTCTCTCTCTCTCTCTCTCTCTCTCTCTCTCTCTCTCTCTCTCTCCCTCTCTCCCTCTCTCCAACCATCCGTCATCCATCCATCCATCCATCCATCCATCCATCCATCCATCCATCCATCCCTATCTATCTATCTATCTATCTATCTATCTATCTATCTATCTATCTATCTATCTATCTATCTACCCATCCATCTATCCACCCATCCATGCATGCATGCATGCATGCATGCATCCATCCATCCATCCATCCATCCATCCATCCATCCATCCATCCATCCATCCATCCATCTAGCTATATAGCTATAGTATATATCATCTATCAATATCATTATCCATCTCTCTCTCATCTATATCATCTATCTATCTATCTATCTATCTATCTATCTATCTATCTATCTATCTATCTATCTATCTATCTATCTATCTATCTATCTATCATCCATCCATCATCTGTCTGTCTGTCTGTCTGTCTGTCTGTCTGTCTATCTATCTATCTACATACAATTATCTAAGTACATACATACAATTATCTATCTATACAATTATCTATCTATCTATCTATCTATCTATCTATCTATCTATCTATCTATCTATCTATCTATCTAGCTATCTAGCTATCTAGCTATCTAGCTATCTAGCTATCTAGCTATCTAGTTATCTATCTATCATCTATCAATATCATTATCCATCTCTCTCTCTCTCATCTATATCATCTATCTATCTATCTATCTATCATCTATCAATATCATTATCCATCTCTCTCTCTCTCTCTCTGAAAAAACGTCTTGGATGAGAAGCGAAATGTCTTCAAAGAAAAACAAGAAAGTCCAGTTGCTTCATGAAAAAGCATCTTTGGGACAACTATGACTTGGATGACTGAGAATCTCCATAGACATTTAACTCTTTGAATGTTTTGAACCAAGCTGCAATGATGGGATCCCGTACCATTCCTACAATCAAGTTCCATCTTTAAAAGAAAGGCTGGGGGACAGATATCAAGCCCCCCAAGCACAAATGAGGACATTTGTCATGTCAAAGCCAAAAAACACACAGCTCCCTGTCTCCTGGTTAAATGTCAACAAGTGTGGATTATTTTAAATGGAAAAGAAAAGGCTGCTGCACTTAACAATACAAACACACCATTGTACAACAGCAAAGGTGGGAACTGGGAAAGGATCAGGCCAGTCAAACAGGCTATTCTCACCCCAGACCAAAAAGAACAGTAACAGCACATTCCTCATGCAAATTCATACATGCAAATTGATGAAAGCTACATTAGGACACAAACAATCCAGGTCATGTAAATGCAATAATCACGACATGGTAAACTAACTGAGGAATTTTGATTCAAAAGCAGGCCAGGCTTTCCCATGCAGGCACAAGGAATGAAGATCAGCAAGTAGGAATCAGCAGTTCCCAAGTTAGAGAAAGTCGTAACGCTTGGAGACTCAAGGCCTCAAGGTCATCAAGAGAACAGCCCAAAGATCTCTTGGCTCAGGAAAGCACAAAAATATAGAATTTAAGCCTCTGAGCACACACCTATTTAAAGAGCTTTGATTGCAATATTCCCGCAGTGGACAAATCTGGATCTATTAGGTAATTCCAGGCAAACCTGGATCATAGGAGGGATCAAAGGGATCATAGGAGCTATAATACTTTGGAAGGCATCAAAGTTGAGCAAGGTTGAAGTACACCCAATGAATCATCCATCTACTACTGCAACCAGTAAGAAACCCTCGCCGTTAAATTCCCATCAGGAACTGTCCATAAAGCCAAAATCCTTTACAAATGACAAAAATCAGAGTGTAATCCTAGGCATTATTCAATATTTTCTTTTCTGGGACTTACTCCTAAGTAAGGAGAGTTGTGAATGTCAACCCGAGTCACTGTGCCTCAGCATTAATGAAGCAGTACACGATGGAAGCAGATGAGATGCTTAAAAGCTTACCCCTTCCCATGGTCTCAACAAGGGCGAGGCTATTTTGATCAATAAATGAAGGACAGGTTTACTTTTCCTGTCCACTCATGTGTTCAATTATCACAGACTGTCTGGACAAGCCCCTGAAGTTTTCTTGGCAAGGTTTTTTTTTTTAAAAAAAGCGGTTTGCCATTGCCTCCCTCCAAAGGCTAAGAGAAAGTGACTGGCCCAAGGTCACCCACCTGGTTTTGTGCTTAAAGCAGAACTAGAAGTCCCAATCTCCCAGTTTCTAGCCTCATGCCATTACACCAAACTGGCTCTCAAGGGCAGCATAGCAAGATTCCTAGTCTGTAACCCAATTCTGGTACACAGTATTGAGGTGTTACTTTTCTTTTTTCTTTTTAAAAAGGTGACTGTTCTTTCTACCCCAGTGGTGGCGAACCCATGGCACGGGTGCCAGAGGCGGCACTCAGAGCCCTCTCTGTGGGCACGCGCGCCGTCGCCCCAGTCCTAGGCCTTCAGCTGGGTTTTATAAAACCTTTTCGCTTTAGACCTCCGCCGCCGTGTGCAAAAAAAAAAAGGTTCAATCAATCAGTCAATTTCAACTTCTTGTGGGGAAAAAAAGATCTTGCAAAGTTGGAATTGATTGATTGAACTTTTTAGTCCCACCCAGTCTGCCGTTACCACCACAGCCATGCCCACCTAATAGGCCACACCCACCCAATGGGCCACACCCACCCGGCACCCGACGATGCATAAGTGGGTTTTGGGTTGCAGTTTGGGCACTCGGTCTCTAAAAGGTTCGCCATCACTGTTCTACCCCATCTACCTACCCCTTACTTTGGGACTGTCAGCAATCCGCTTTTTCCCCTTTTCTTTCTTCAACATACACAGTATCTAAAACTAAGATACTCACTCTTGCGTCCTGAGCTCATGCTCGCTTCCAGAAGTCTGAGCTTCATAACCACTTTCTCTCGGTGAGTCTTACGCTCTAGAATATAACTAAGCAGCATGCATGAATACTGAGTTGCTCTGGAGAGGGAAGGAAAGAGAGGCGTATCGCTGGTCACACATCACAAGCAAAGCGGGCTGGGTCTTCCCACAACGAAACCGAGGGAGATATATACATGCATACATATATATAGAGAGAGATACTATGCGCACGGGGAGGGACCCGTGCAGAAGATGCTAGAGGGCTGTTTAGCTGTAAGGCAAGTTTTCTAATATATAGTTTTGCACAAGGTAAAGTTGCTCAATCAGAGGAGATGTTGCAAGTGGTGCGTAAGAATCTATTATATTAAATTATCCTGGAAAAACATGTTTATTTCCAAAAGCATTTGCTGGCAAAAAAAATAAAAATGGCTGTCTCCTTCCAAACCTCTTCTCACTGCTGGTTATCGGAAGACCATTTACAATTCTTTATATATATATATATATATATATATATATAGATTTTATTAGTTTTTATAGGGTTAGGGATAGGGTGGGGTTGGGATTAGGATTGGGGTTTTTCCAAGTAACATTTCCAATATTTAGCAAACAGCATAATGTCTGGGTACATGTATTCAACTAACAATAATAGATATAGTTAATTATCATAATCAATATGTTAATTAATCACTCAATACCCTTCTTCTTACTAATATATATTCAAACTTACATATCACATTCCTTTCTCTCTGACTCGTTTTTCTAGCCATTGATAGAAATTATCCCGTGTTCTAAAATACACTGAATCTTCTTTCTCTTTAATCTTTAAAGTCAATCTATCCATTTCTGCACACTCTAGAATTTTCTTAATTAGTACTTCTTCAGTTGGTAAGTTTTCATTTTTCCAATGTTGGGCAAATACAATTCTTGCTGCCGTTAATATATGTAGTATTAGATATCTACACTCTTTCTCATAGTTGGCTCTTATTATTCCTAACAGAAATAATTCTGGTTTAAAGTCTATTTCGTTTTTTTAGTCATCTTCTCCAACCATAAATGTATTTTAAGTCAAAAAATTTTTGCTTTAGGGCATGTCCACCAGAACCATTTACAATTTTTGTGAAGCAGCTGTAACGCACAATGGGATAACACTTTGAATCCTGCCCAAAAGGCATCGTAATGGAATTGAACGGAATGAATAAAACAAACAGCCAATTTCTTGCGTCTGTGGAGTATCCATCATGACAGGTCATAATACTATTTATTTATTTTTTTTCCTTTTTTGCTCCTACCTGAACATCCATGAAACTGAACCTGGGGGCTCCACACCACCTTTTCTGGCGTTATACATTAAGCAGTAGCTTGGTATAACTGGCAAACGATTGAAGCAGGACCTTTGAGACTGAGGTTTGGTTCCATCTACAGCTGTGGGAGAACTGATCACGCTGAGCCTAGAGCCAACTTTGAGTCCAATTTATTGCACAGATGGTTGTGTGCTATTGCAAAGACAAAACTGGAGGAGAGATTGCTACCCACTTTACCTTGAGGATACGAAAGTGAGGTGGGTTGTGAAGCTGCCAAACAAATAACAATCGCTTGGCTCAACGTCAATTTTAAAAGCAGCCTGCAATGCTGAAAGAAGTTTACATAACACCGGCTAATAATAACACAAAGCAGACAACGGTGATTAAAACCTGCATTGCCAACTCTTTGGCATGGTTATTTTTTTCTACCTCTCTCAACAGGCCTGGAGGAAAGAGATGGGGGAAAATTATTAGGCAGAGGTACACGTGGTCTGTGTGATTCTCACACCTACATAAAGCAGCAAGATCATCATTCCCACACATGATTTGTTTCGCTCAAAAACCTTCCCCTGCGAAATTATCGGGCAAGCCTGTTTCTCCTACCAGGTTTATTTATATATATTTTTTTACATTTTCTTATTGATATCTTGTGGGATGATGCAAGGATCCCTTTCCACTTCGTAATCTGATTTCCATCAGGTTTGTGGGACATCTTCAATCTTCCACCACTCTGTCTAAAAGCTTCCATGGCTGGGAATCCAGGGAACTGTGGTCGCAACACATTCGGAGGACAGCAGGTAAATATACCAGGTTTGGGAATTTTTGCCTGTCTGGGGAACTAGTTTATGTTTTCGTGTACAATCCACAAAATAACAGCGCTCTGTGATGTCATGCTGGCCACATGACCACGGAAATGTCTTCGGACAGCACCGGCTCAATGGCCTTGAAATGGAGATGAGCACAACCCCCTGTAGTTGTCTAGTGGAGTTAAAAGGAACTCATTGTCCTTTACCTTTACAATCCACAAGAGAAGGCAACTTTGACCCCGCCAGCACCTGTTAAATCTCAGCAATTCTCCACTCTCTTTCATTGCTGACATTGCATTCTTTGCAGTATTTATACCTTGTGTAATTTCCGTGTGGGAGTGGAGCTGTGTTTGCAAATCACTGAGAAGTAGGAGTGAAGAGCTATGAAGAAATATGTCAAATATAAATTAAGGGAATCAGATCTACTGATGCCTCTCTTGAAGCAAGCCTCAATGCAAGTATTCCTAACACTCCTTCAAGTTATCAGATCTGCGATTGCCATCACACAACTGCCAACCTTGATTAATGTTGAGCCTTAACATGTTGTGCAAACTCAGTCATTGTGTGAACCAATGTCTTACACAACACCAGGGAACAGGTTGTTCAGTAACCAGATGACCACGTTGTGCAAAGATATCTGTATCCTATATTCACACAAGTCTGATGAAGCCCAAGGGGGTGCAGGAATACTCTGTGTTACGCCTGATTGGTCAGTTTTCCTTTGGCTTTAGACTAAAATCCAGAACCCACGAGTCCTGTGGACTTAAAATTTGCCAAAATGTCTAAGACGTTTTATGGTAAAAATGATCATAAAGCATCTTGTGACATAATTTACTGAAGTTTGACTGTGCTACACGGCTCAATCCAGGCTACTTTCAAGGCACTGCTGAATATCTCTCTGAACTTCTAGCAACTTTTCCAGTGAAGGCATTGAGGAATCTAATAAGCTTGACCAGCCCAAAGCACTTGAGGTCAAGACAAAAAGTACTGGGTGGAAGCCGGTTAAGGAGAGATCCAACTAAGGAGAAATTTCCTAGCAGTGAGAACAATGAATCAGTGGAACGGCTTGCTTCAGGAATAGAACAGAACAGAATAGCTGGAAGGGACCTTGGAGGTCATCGAGTCCAACCCCCTGCTCAGGCAGGAAACCCTATCGCATTTCAGACAAATGGTTGTCCAATCTCTTCTTAAAAACTTCCAGTGTTGGAGCATTCACAACTTCTGGAGGCAGGTTGTTCCACTGATTCATTGTTCTCAGCATCAGGAAGTGCTAGGTTGCTTCTTTCCTTGATTAGTTTCCATCCGTCGCCTCTTGTCCTGCCTTCAGGCGCTTTGGAGAATAGCTTGACTCCCTCTTCTTTGGGGCAGCCCCTGAGATATTGCAACCCTGCTCTCCTGTTCCCCCCTCGTCCTTCTCTTCATTAAAGAAGTTGTGGGTGCTCCATCACTGGAGGCTTTCAAAAACGAGACCGGACAGCTATTTGTCTGGAAGGGTACAGGGTCTCCTGCTCAAGCAGGGGGGTTGGACTAGAAGATCTCCAAAGTCCCTTCCAACCCAAAGCTTCTATGATCTATCTCAACTAGGAATTGCAACGGGGAGGGTCGTGGGAACCCAACCCGACGGGCTGCGTGGGGGGGGGGCTCTGCACGCTCCCTGCAAAAGAGGGGGGCCCCGCCACCCCCTCTTCTCCGCCCCCCTCACCGAAAGAGGCGCTCCCGACCCTGCGTCTGGTTGGTGAAGTGCACAAAAGCCTCCATGCCACCTGCAGCCACCGCCGGACCGCTCCGAACTCCGGGCAGGAATCAGCTGTTTCTCCGGGGAGGGGGGGGGGAGAGAGAGGGCAGGGAGGGGGCGGGGCCGAACGGTGGCCACGCCCCGGCCTTCCATGCCCTGGACTCCATTTCCCGTCCTTCCCTTCTTCCTTCCGCCCGGGGTTGCCACAGCAACGGGTCAACTTCCGGAGACAGGTGTGCGCTCATGGGGGGGGGGGCGGACAGGTGTGTGCAGAATTAGGGGGAAGCCACGAAAAGGCTTTTTTTTTTTTCTTTCCCCTCCAGGAGCTTCGATTTGAGGGCTGTTCTGCCTGCGGGAATCATTTTTCTTTGTTTTTAACGGAGCTTTTCCCAACCAGGGGACTGCAGCACCCATCATCCCCAGCTGAGGGGTGTGTGTGTGTGTGTGTGTGTGTGTGGAGTTGCAGTTCAACGCCTCTAAAAGCCCCCCCCCAGGTGGTTTACTTAGAGGAGGGGAGCCTTTTGCCAACCGCAAGATTGAGCTTCTGTGATGCCTTGGAAATCTTGTTTTGTTTTTTGTTCGTTTGTGTTTTGTTTCTGTTTTGCTTGTGTTTGGGTTTGTGTTTTGCTTGTGCTTTGCTGTTTTGTTTCTGTTTTGTTTGTGGGTCTGCCCAGCTCAAACTAGGGGACTTTGGGCTGTGTGCAAAAAAGTCCTTTAAAAGAAAAAAAACAAAGTTTCCCTAAGTATTGCAAAACAGTGTCATGTTACATTGAGAGCTGGCAAGGGTGTGTGTGTAGGATTGCAGCAAAGCAATACATGGGTTGCATACAGGGCCAGTTTGGTGCAACAGTTGAGGCACCTGGCTAGAAACCAGGACATTGTGAGTTCTAGTCCCACCTTAGGTATGAAAGCCAGCTGGGTGACTTTGGGCCAGTCGTTCTGTCTCAGCCCAACCCACCTCACAGGACTGTTGTTATGGGGGGGAAAATAGGAGGAGAAAAGAGTGTTAGGTATATTTGGTGCTTTGAGTTATTTATGAAAAAGAAAGGTGGGGGTTAAAAAAAGAAAGCTTGAGAGTGATCTTTGCTTCTCTCTCTTTCAAAACCGAACCCCACCCTCCCTTTAGGGCAGCTGATTGGTAATTGGATTGAATTTTATTGCAGAACTCAGCTGAGCCGAAGAGAAGATGCCTTTTTATCTTCGGAAGCAGCACTTGGACATTCCTGCACCCACTGAAAAAGACTGGATTAAAAAAGATGAAGAAGAAAATTTCTTCCAGAATGACCCTGACGAACTCTTAGACTCCTTGCCTCAGCCTTTCTGCATGATCAATAAAATATTGAAAGACTTGTTTGAAAGAGCCTGGGAACGAATTGAGGAAAGGCGCCCGTTACAGGAGACGAAGCAGCAAAGTTTCACACCCTTACTCTGTCACCCTACAAATAAATTCATGGTAATCTAAGGCTCTTTCAGATAAAGAGTCCAAGGAAACCTTGATATGTGACCTTGGCACCATATTATTTTTCTTCTACAGCGTCATCCTCTTGGACAACCAAATTGGTTTTCTTTTGGCTTAACTCTGGTATAATTTCAGGGAGATATGAATTGGACGTTACCACCAAGACATAAATCTAAATATTTCTAGATCACCCCTTTGCCACAGAGACCCCTTAGTTATAATTCCATCAAAACCATTAAAATTAGCACAGGTTTATTAAATATTTTTAATGAGCCAGAGAAGTTAAAGCATGGAACCAGTTAAAAGCCAGATGAAGTATATATATATATATATCCTCCATATAAAGACATTGTAGTATAGAGGGATTGGAATTATTATGACATCCATATTGTACAGTATGTTCACGTTTATGAGGTAAACATGTTCTCTTCTTTTAAATCTTCCCAGGTATCAGGGAGAGTAAACTGCCTGTCAGCTTCTGAAGGGTACATCTTTATGGGGCACTCCACTGGGATTTCTGTCTTCAGCTCAACCTCCTGTGAAAACTTGTCTACTTGGGAGGCAACCAAACTTGAAATTTGCTCCATTCAGCTGTCAGTCCTTGGTGGTGTCTCCCATCTCCTTGGAACAGTGGATGAGATGGGTAGGCAGCTATACATCTATATTCATTAAGAATGAACAGTTAATTTGCTGATTGGTTTCACAATTTATTGTTATTCAATGAAGTCTTGTAAGATCAGTTTTAAGTTTTTCCTATTTAGTAGCCATGGAGAATAAACTTCAAACAGAAGAAATGATTTTCATTTATGAGAATTAGCATTCTCAGCCAATCAAAATATAGTTAATAAATAAAGGCACCATCTAGGTGTATGCTAATGAACATGAAGGAAAAATTGCCCTCCCCTAGAATCATTCTTGTTTTGTTTTCCAGGTTTTGCACGTCTTTTTTGTTTTGTCAGGGAAAACCTCTTGCATATAAGATCCATAAATGAAGTGGTGAGTTTGTCTCATATTAACTGCTAGTGCTTATATCTATCTACCTGTCAATTTTCAGTTGTCTTTTTGAACATCCCAGTTATTAAAATCTATTGTGCGATTCCTATAATCTTAAAAATGTTTTGTTATTAATTGAACTATTGTCAGAGTTTAAAATCTAAGCAGAATCGGGTCTGGTTAGTACTTAAAGGGAAGATCTCCAGGGCTATAGACGTAGATTTAGAAGGAAAAAAAATATCTAGGAGAAGGCTGTGTCAAGAATACTGCATGGACAGTTCAATTTGAAGAAGACTTTCCTTTTTTCTTTATTAGTTGGGAGGATATTACTGCACATATGTCTTTTGAGGCCACTTTAACGAGACATCTGGTTGACCACTGTGCAAAAAAAAAGTACAGGTAGTCCTCAATTTACAACAGTTCATTTAAGGAACGTTCAAAGATACATCACTGAAAAAAGTGACTTATGACCCTTTTTCACACTTATGACCATTGCAGCGTCCCATGGTCACATGAATTTGGACGCTTGGCAATCATCTATTTATGACGGCGGCAGTGTCCCGGTTGTAAAAGGTTGTAAAAATGGGGCAAAATTAACAATTTTGGCAACAGAAATTTTGGGCTCAATTGTGGTTATTAAGTCGAGGATTATCTGTGCTGGGCTGAATTCTTGTCCCCCTCAGACCTTCTCCAATAAAGTATTTTGCTCTTCTGCCAAATATCTCAGGGAGCTGTGCCGTTCTGCAGCAGAAATGTGCAGTTTTGGACTCCTTGCTATCCTGGTTGAACAGGCCTAGCTTGATCTCATATTTCGTATTCTCCTGTTTGTCAGGAAGATATCAGCAAACGAAACATCTGCGTGGCACTGGAGCTTTCTCAGGAGAGTGACTACGCAGGATTCCTGCTACAAGGCAAGTCTCAGCCTCTCTTAACCTTCTGATGTGCTTGAGGTCCAGATCCATAGTTGGGTGGTTTTGATATAAAATAATAATAATAATAATAATAATAATAATAATAATAATAATAATAATAATAATAGTAATAGTAATAATAAAGTTGGAAGGGACCTTGGAGGTCATCTAGTCCAACCCCCTGCTCAGGCAGGAAACCCTACACCATTTTGGACAAATGGCTGTCCAGTCTCTTCTTAAAAACTTCCAGTGTTGGAGCATTCACCGCTTCTGGAGGCAGGTTGTTCCACTGGTTAATTGTTCTAACTGTCAGGAAGTTTCTCCTTAGTTCTA